GTGCCGCCGGGCCAAGGCCCTGGCGGGAGCGCAGGGGTCCTGGAGGACGAGGGAGGCTTTGGGCGCTGCYGCGGGCACGGGGTGACCGTCCTCGTGCCGGCCCCCGAGCCGGCCTGGCCGCGGCTGCTCGGCCGGAGCCCGCTCCGCTGCCCGCTCCGCTGCCCGCCCCGCGCGGTGGGTGCAGGGTCTGTGCTGCAGCTCCTCCCGAGCCCCTCGTGGCGCTCGGAGTTGGCTCGGTGTCCCAAAGACACCCGTGGCGCTTCCCTCTGTGGCTCGGGGGCCTCCCCGCAGGAGACCACCTAGCAGAGCCTCCAGCAGCGCACGGAGCCCGAGGTCCCGGCGGCCGCTGTTGAGGGGGTCCCTGGCTGCCCGTGCAGCTCTTGGAGCTCCCGGGGGGATCAGGATCCTTCCAGGCGGCCGAACCCGCTCCCCACGGCAGCGTTTCCCGCGCGCTGGTCCGCATCCAGCCRAGCCTTCTTCGTCGAGCGCGATGGCGCCCGTGTCCTCGCCCGGCTCCCGCAGCCGTGCGCCCTCGCCCGCCCCGGCGGCGGCCGGGAARGGGTTCCCTCCGCAGCGGCAGCCCCGCGGGACGGGGGGCCCCCCTGTCCCGGAAGGCTCAGGAGTGAGGCCCGGCTCCCGCTGCCTGCTCCGTGTGGCAAAACCGCCCCCACGCAGGGGGCCGGCACCCGCCGCCACGGCCTCCCCACGGGATCTGTGCGGCCCTGCAGGGCCCCGCGGCGCCCCGAGGCCTCGCGCCCCCCCGGCCTCACGCCCCGGTGTGTGCAGGAGCGGGGCCCTCYTGGCCGGGCTCTCCTTCCTGCCGGGGGCCTGCGTGCCCCTGTGCCCCGGGGTAGGTTAATGCCCCGTGTGGCGTTAACCTGGCTGGCCCTGCCTCAGTTTACCGGGCGGTGCGGCGGGTGCAGCGGGGCCGGGTGCCCAGGGCAGCTGCTCCGCTCCGTGCGGGGCTCTCGCTGCCCGCAGGGGCTGCGCTGGACCAAAGGATGGTCCCCCCTCCCCGGCTCATCTCCCCAAAGGGGGGTCAGGGGTCCTGCTCATGGGGGCTCCTTGGCAGCACCCCTTTCCCCCCCCCCCCGC